CTCCTGGATGCCCTGGGAAGGCCCGCGGAAAATGAGGCCTTGGAGAGGGACCTCGAGAAAGAAGCACTGCCGAGCTATCTTATTTTGTAAATACGCGAGAGGCTTTGCTACTGGTAACATGCCACGTTTCTGTTGGTTCCTGTGTGCTAGAATGAAAATGGTTTATTTTTCCAAGTGGCAGAGCTGAAGAGTTGGTTTTTTTTCCGTACACGTGTCACTAAAAAATCTGCTTATTTAGAAGGAAAAGAATAAAAATGCCATTTAATTCAGTTTAGGATTTAGAGAGATGGTGGATTTTGTGTCAAAGATCTCATCGACCTGTCTTCTGGCTTTTTTTTCTTTCACAATTTACAAGCTTCATTGGGACACTACCAGGGCTCCAGGGTGTTTCTCTCTGCCCCCCCCACCCCCTTCCAGGTTTTTATTACTGAATTAGTATGTGTCTGTAGATAATGAATTCTAAACTTTTACTCACCTTAGGAAATGGCCTTTTCTATATTGAGTAGCTTTAAATGGGTAACTAAGAGCCCTCGAAGTACAGATACAGCTTGCACTTAGTACAAAGTAATACAGTAATTTGTGATAGTGTAATGAATCATCTGCTAGTTCATCAAGCTGATTTTTGCTAATTTATTTCCATGTGCTTCCATTTTAGTGGAGTGGAAGCTAAACAGCCCAACTCTGCCATCAGGAAGTGTGTTAGAGTTCAGCTGATTAAGAACGGCAAAAAAATAACAGCTTTTGTTCCCAACGATGGCTGCCTGAACTTCATTGAGGTAATTTTCAAGAAGTGATCTACAAAAAGTTGTGTATCAAAGTAAAGAAGCACATAGTGGGTGGATTTAGGGGATGGTTAGACAAGGCTTGGTGGCATTCTGCACCACATGTATCTTGGAGCTGTGGTGGCAGAGGCAGATGAAAAATGTGAGATGATTTTGTACTTTCCCTTTCCTTAGCAAAGCCAGTTCTCAGCTGTGCTGCTGCAAGCTAAATGACATCTCTGCTTACATTTCCTTTCTCCAAAATGCTGATGGGGATAACAGTCTCCTATTAATGTGTATCTCTCAATAGCCTTCAGTATTGCCACCCTTTCTTTAAATTTGGTCCACACCCTAGACTTCCTAATGTTACCCATTTCAGCAGTATGTACAGGTTTGATGTCGATGGCTCTGTAACTACATGGTTTTTCATTGCAGGAAAACGATGAAGTTCTGGTTGCTGGTTTCGGTCGGAAGGGTCACGCTGTTGGTGACATTCCTGGAGTTCGCTTCAAGGTTGTCAAAGTAGCCAATGTTTCTCTGTTGGCGTTGTACAAGGGCAAGAAGGAGAGACCAAGATCATAAATTTAGTTTAATTTGACAAGAATTTCAATAAAATTTTTGATTGGAAAAACTTATACGCTTGTTATTTGAGGCTTGTGGGGGGGGTTTTAAATGTGTATCTGCAAATGACATTTGCCTCAGAGATGTTGGGATGTACTGGTTTTTGTGGTGGGCAGATGCTTTTCCTTCAGTAAATGCTTTGCTGTTGAGAGATGGCGACTTTATAACCAGCAGGTGGGTTTAAAAAGCACTTGCGTTCCCAAATTTACCTTTGTGTTGTGTCGAGCAACACAGCTGTCTGCCAGGAACTTCAAAGGTTTACTTCATAGAATTAAAGGGTGTTGTAGCACAATCCCAGTGCTGTCACGAAGGTTTCTTCAGCTTTATAACTAGAGTAGTGACTGTCCTGCTGTCAAGATGGATTGATAGATCTCTCTGAGGCCTTTATGCACTCGTAAACCTTTCCTGGAAGCTGTCATGGAGGGATGCATGAAACAATTTCTGGACTGTTCTGTGGCCGGTTGTGCAGAACCTTAAAGATTTTGAAGCTTGGGTCCAAGTACAACACTAATGCAGAGCCAGCTGGGTCTCCAACTGAGGGAACTGGCTGTGCTGTAGAAGGGAAAGGTCTCGGGCGTTTGCTGTGTTGCCCTCCTGGTTTAGGAGGGCCGCAAGAGCACAGGGAAGGGAAAGCGCTGTGTTGCCCTGGCACACGTGGTCCAGCAAAGAGCTGACTGGCGCCATGTGCACAGAAAGTGAAAGTGAGCTAACTGTGTCACAGCCTTAATGAGCCCGCGGGGCTGCGTTATCAGGAATCTTACGGATCACTTCTGCAGCAGAAGGGGTTGGGGGGGGTAACAAGTTTACTGCCATGCCTTGCAGTAAAGTTAAGTTTCCTTGTTTTCCTCTGTCAGTAAAGGTCTGGAGTGGGTATTTTGTACTGGATGTTAGTGCAGCACTTGGGGAATGTAACTTAGGATGAGAAGGTTTGTTGGGCAGCAAGGTTAGATCCTGTATCTGTTAGATCTACTGTGACCTTTTTGCTAGTCATTTGATATTCTAGAGTGAGGTAGTTCCAGTTTTATAGAATACCACTGTATTCTACAAAGATCGATTGCTTTTCAGGAGCACAGGATAACCACTTTTTCTTTGGACACTAAATAGTTAAACTGTCACATAACTATGTAAAGATGTGTGGTTGTTGGGTGGGTTGGTTTTTTTTTCCCCAAAGCCTGAAATGTTACATATTACTCCCTGGTTTTGCCTATCTGTTCAATGGCTGAGCGTAGATGCTGTTTGAGAGATGTTTGTATTAACTGTAATAAACACTACAGAATCCAGAACTTAATTACAGACTCAGTATTTTTAGAAGAAACAGGCCACTGGAATTTTATCTTCAATCATCATGTCAGTCATAAAACTCTTCCCGTAGGAACTGAAATGAAATTTCTTACTGCTGGGTCTGGCCAAAAAAACCCCTAATGTTTCTCTGGGACTATTAAATTCATCAGGAATCAAAACATCCCCTCAAGCAAGTTGGGAGGAGAAATGACATGTATTTTAATGTTTACTTTGGAACAGCCTTCCTCAAATCAAAAACGGTCACTGTAAATGTTGAAAATTGTGTTTATTAATGGTCTTCAAATGATGACAGCAGTTCTAGTTTCTGGTGTGAAGACAGGCAATGGCACCTGACACACAATTCATCTCATTTAGGTCCTGAAGGGATTATTAAACCATTTATCTAATCTCATCTCTGTCCTGCTCAGCCCATAGAACTTCCCCCAGCTGCTTTCATGTTAAGTGGAAATTAAGTCTTAACTAGTTGAACTTGGGCAAGTCTGCCTGCTTTGAAAACACCAGTTTCTTTTAGTGCATTCCAGCTGCTTCCATTTAGCTGCTGTGTACTGACTTGAATATATCTTTGAGTAGGGCTTTTGGGTTTTCTTTGCTAGATTAAAAATACTTCTATAAATAGTTGGATTTTTTTACTTTTTCAAAGACGTTTGCACCATAATCAGGCTATTTGAAAAACTGAAGTATTTCATCAGTTCGTATCTTAAACCATTTTTTTCTCCCTATTGTCCAGTTTTTCAACATCACTTTAAAATGTGGATGCCAGAACTAAGAGAGAGTATCAAACAAGAAGCCAACACGTCCCTCTATCAGCCATTAGATCATTGCCAGATCTTCCATTCTGCTGATACTTGTACTCGCATATTTTATCTTGAATTTGGCCCCTTGAAAGTACATTTTGCAGAAAGGTTGTAACAGAGCACTAGGTGCTTTGTTTCATGTTAGAGCTATTTTATGCACTAAAACCTCAAAGTTTATTTGTTTGGCTGAAGTTAAGAGTGTAAACAATTTCCTCAGTATAATCACAACTCATCTGTGTGTTCATCCAAATTATCAATTAGTATTATTTTACATGAAAATGGAGTAAAACTTACTTAAGAACAGCTTGAGAATCTCTACTACTGGGTATTTTGTAGCTTAGTCATCTGGGAATTTGTGAGATTTGGATTCAAATCCTTGTTTGGGTGCAGAAGCAACGTTGAACTTGGGTCTCCCTCATCATGGTACATGCAGGAGCCCCAGTCATAACGAAAACGGCTTTTGCTGCAGCCCCTTCCCAGCCTTATGGGGGAAACCTGGAAAAGCTGCTCTCTGCGATTCCAGAATTGAGACTCCCTCTGTTGGAACCTGGCTTAAATACCCTTTAAGATTACCAGAGCGAGGCCTTAACTCCTTGACTAATCTTGGACACAGTGAAATGCACAGTGCCTGCAGTGCACTCCGCTCAGGTTGGAGTGTAAGTAAGTGAAGAGGCCAGGCAGCCCATGCCATCAGCAGCCCCCACGGCCCCCTGGGCGACCCAGTGTCATTTTTATTTTTACTGTGCTTTCTGGTTTCCTAGCCCTTCTGTTTTCTTGGCTAGTGGAGGGTTAACTGCTGATAATTTTCTTCCTTTCATGCAGCCATATGCGTGTTCTGGATGTCTTCTCTTTTCACCCAAAATGTTATATGGATGGATTTTGAGGATCTTATACATCTGCCCAGTATTTCTTACAGCTTCAGTGAATCAGAGCTACTGTTTATGGAAGTAATTTCCACGATACTATTGTATGCCCAGAAATCCTAGATACATCCTTACTGTGTTTGCTGTGGCTGTGTCTAATGCTTCTGTGAAACTTGGAGCAGATCATGCAGTAATCGAGGTAGGTAGCACATTCTACTGCGAAGTATGAAATCCAGCCTTCATCTAAGAGCACAACAATGCAAGTAGATATCCAGGTCTGAAAGCATTGGCCACCATCAGTACAGCCGTACTTATTAATAATATGCATCAAACCAACTCCAGGGACACATGTGAGAGGAATCAGGTACAAAATTACATTCAAAACAACTAGAAAGTCACCAATTTTTTTCAGGTGATCCTCGATTACAGTAAGGCTGGAAGCTACTGGATGAGCAAACCCGAACACTGAACTAACTGACAGCTTGCAGATCTGACAGCAGTTCCTTGTGGAAGCAACAGATCCCAGTCAGCTAGTTTAATCAAGAAATCATGGTCTTACGAATGCAAATGTTGTCCTACAGAGCTGCTGGTGTTAGGCTTCCAGCTCAGTTTCTACAGGAGATACATTACTTGACCTATGAAAATCATCAGCTTTGGTTTTGTTATTCCAGCCATCAGGGTCTACTTGGTTTTGTTATTTTCACTTGCTTTTCTTGCCCAGCAAAAATTATTAGTATGGCTGCCAGTAATACTCCTTTGAAAAAAAAAGATTTTACTGCAGCCAGCAGAGGACTATCGAAGTCCTTGTGGTTCAAATTGTTTTCAAATTCTAAAGTCAGTCTGGCAGTACAGATTTACCCGGAGGTAAATGGAGCTAGTTTCCAAAAGTAGGGCATAGTCATGAGGTAATCTTGCCACTAGATGTTGCTATCAGTACAATCAGGGGAAAAGCTGAGACATAAAAGCTGTAAGACGGAAAGTTGTTTATCTGGGCTTTAACAAAGGAAATCTTCAAAACTGGAAATTTAGCTTTTAACTGATTCAGGGAGTTCCTGTTGGGAAAACAAGACACTTACTGCCTTGTTGCCTTTGCGTACTTAGATGCTACATAGAAGCATAAGAGCTTAAGGAGTAAACTCACTGGAAATCTTGTTAGATCAAAAACATGGACAAGAAGAACACAGGTGCTTATTACTCCATCAGGCATGTGTACATTTTATGTGTTTGGTTGAATTAGAAGCTCAGTTTTTGTTTTAAACTTCTTGCAACGTAGCCAAAGTGAGACTGCTATTAAGGTGAAGGGACCACAATAGTTACCAGGAGTAGGAGAAAGCATGGAACTGGGAGCAGGACAAGTAATGCACGAAGTTGTTCAAGCTAGTTGCACGTTTTGAGTTGCGTTTTATTGTTTTACAAGCTTGTTTAGCACATGACATCTAGTCAACACTTGGGCACCAGGATTCTTCTAGCAAATGTGTCCGTGGACTCTGTCAGTGCCCAGGAATAACTTGTGTTACCTGGACACAGTAGGAAGAAGTCAAAGGAACATGAGCCAAGCCAAACCTCATCACCAAGTCACTACTAGAGGGTTTTAAGCCTAATAAAGCAGCACTGAAACTATGTGTTACAGAACCCAAATCTTCCATAACGGAGGGGAATCTACAGAGATCAGAGAAGAGGTGAACTTGTGCAATAGATATGGCAGTCCATGTTTCTACTTCATTAGCCAAGCATATTAGTAAATACAAAAGCACTCAGTTAATATGAAGGTCACAATACCTGACTGTTGGATGCAGGAGAACGAACCTTACAAACCCTGGAGAGGCAATCAGTGCTTGGTGGAGTGAGGCCTGGTTGGAATCCACCAAAATTCAGTACAGGATTTTGATTTGGATCAGGTGCAAAGGAAAGAAGGATTAGTTCATTTCCACAGTTTGCTAAATCTTTTTCAACCTATGGTCAGACCATGTTCTCCCCAGCCATGGGCTCTACCTGCCCCCTGAAAGTGGAGCGGCTTTAACTGCGGCACTTGCTCACCAGAAGTAAAAATCATTAAGAAAGACAGGCCTCTGCATTTTAAGGTGATGTATTCCAAAAGAGACAGACCCAACATCAGCGATTGTTTCTGGTGATGCAGATGACTGCTGGCAAAAATCTGCTTACTGGGATTCTTCTCTATCTAAAGCCTAATCCTGGGCAGCAACAAAGGTGGGAAGAGGAAGCACCTGAATAATATCTACTCCCTCCATCTGGCCTCTGCTGATGAGGCTAATAGTGCACAGCCACCGTGCACAAAGAACCGTGCCGCCTTACCTCTTTAGACATGCTGTATTAACCTTCCAGCATGCTGTACTGACAACATTACTGAAAAATAATACTACATGTTGTTTTCTAACAGGCTTGAGAAAAAAAAGGTGGTGTTCAAGGCAAGGCTCTGTAGATCCATTGTCTTTTCAAACACAGCAGTAAACTCCTCTTGCCTTAAGTTGACATTCATCTTCAGTAGGTGACAGTTACAACAAGCTCTCAAGTGGTGAAGTGAAAGCTTCCTTGTGGTGCAGGTTTTTTAAGAGTCTAATGAAATCTAGGACATAAAGATAACCAGAGTGACACCTTCTTTATTCTTACTGAGCAGTCAATATGTGGTTAGTTTTGCAGCTATGAACTTCAGGTATACATTTTTTTTATTCTAGATGGTGAGAACGTATTGCTAAGAAATACTCTAAACTCTTCGAAACACTTTTAAAAGCCCACATGTTACTAAAAATATGCACAGATATTCATACATACATACATACATTGTTCTCCAGAAGACAGTATTTTGGAGGAAACCATAATAACTTCGCAGTTCAGCAGAAAAAGCAATTGTTTTTCCTTTGTGCTGGAACTGAAATGCTACCCAATATAAATATAGATGTCTAAACAAACTCATTAAACCATCAACATAGTAAGTGGCAAAAAAAGAAAAAAAAAGTTATTGAAAAAGTTTTGCTGAAGTTCAGAGTTGCGACAAGAATTGATATTGATTACTTCACTATATTCTGCTCTAATTAACTAGCTCAACATTTACTGTTGTGAAAACAAGTACGCCATTTGACCGAAGGAATGTTTCTTTTAGTACCCAAACCCAACCAACTACAAACCTTCTGTCAGACCAGATGGGGGTTAAATTGTAACCTGATGATGCTGACACAAATGAGGGATTATGTAGGTAGCAATCTCATTCCAAAGAAAAGCATATTTTTGGCTTAGCTGAACACATAAAATTCATTCTTCTTGCAGATTCTTGTAACCAAGGGCAGGTATGAGCCAGCTACCTTAAAAAGAAGACCCCAGAAGCAATGGTCCTCAATACGGCTTCCCAGATTTTTGTACATTGTGTATAAAATATCCTGTAAGTCATTAAGGCACAGATGCAAACGGGAAATTACATGTCTACCTCCCATTTAAGCCATTAGACAGTAGATATTTAAATAGGATTGTATCTCATCTCTCCTTGATCCCAAACATTGATGTTATCCTGTATTTGTTTCTCAATCTAAGCTTAGTGTATTTGTACTAACTAAGCTGAATTTTTGTCTAGTGGTATTCTAGACAAATTTCAGGGTAACACTGACACTGATGATGGCACTGCTCTGTGACTTCATTGTTTATGGTGTTAAACGGTTAAGAATTATACCAGGGCAGGGGAACTGTCAGTTTACTTATCCATTTCATGCTCCCCATTATCACCACTGTGTCTTAGTAACTGCAGGAACAGGATCAAGGCACTGAAGAGGAATTTGGAGGGGCGTTATCAGCAGGAAGGAAGCAAGACAGAGACAGCTTCAGAAACTGCGAACAACCTGAGTGTCCAGCCAAGTGAATGTATGGTTATAAGATACCCAGGAGGTAGAGTGATTGCTGGGAGAGGATGTCTGGGAGTTAAGAACGTGACAGTCAGGACACTGACAGAGCAGTCTCCCACTGTGTGCAGCCATCCATTAGACAAGTGCCTAGGGTTGTCTTCGACAGGGGAAATCTTAAGTCTAGTACAATGTGCAACGCCCTGTCCAAATAATCCTCAATTTTGTTTACAAATGATAAAATTAAGGTAGAAAGTAATAGGTGTTGAGACTTCCCCCATGTAAAAGAACAATATTTATTTCTATCTACATACAAATTCCTCTTCTGTTCTAATTCTTGAAAAAATTAAGAGAAGATTAAGGTGCAATGGAGGGCTGACGGTGAGGAGCAAGTGCCTGGAGTACACTCTTCCAGACTTATTTCATACCAGTTTTCTCTTGTCTGTAACTACAATCTGTAAGTTACAACGTCCGATGTATGGTGTCACACGGATAAGATGCTGACATTTGGAGCCGAGCAATGACACTTCACAGATGTGCAGGTGGCCAAATCGTATTATGAAGAATACTGTTGTACCACAGTTTCTGCTTCCAAGACAGAAAGAGGAAGAGCTGGACTCCAAGAAATGCCTATGAAACTATGCTTACAAATTTTGCACAGCAGCAGCTTAGCAGTTGAATCTTCCCAAGGTCTAAGAACTAATACTGAAAATAATGCTCGAAGTTGTTCCAGGCTCTTCTCTTCTCCTCTATCAAGGAGCAGCTCTTGTCCACTACATAAGAACACTAAAAGCAGCACTTCAGCTATCAGTTATTCCAAAGCCACTCTGTATTCAGGATTGCATTCTATAACTTCTATTGTTTAAAAGTGGAATTTCTTTTCTATATTCACCCCTCAGTGCAGTACCAAGTAACATCTGTGGCGCTTTGGAAAAATGAGCATCACTGATGCTCAGATATGCTGATGCAGCATTCACTGCTCACGCTTTATAGGGAACAACTCCATCAATCCTTTCCACTTCCCTGATCCTAAGGTCACAAGGAGCTTATTTGGACCTTGTTTTAAATAAAGCTACCTGAGGCCAGTTCTAAGTTATACTAGGAATAAAGGTCCCAGGGGCTAGCTAGCACAGTGTGAGTCTGTCAATATGCTGGATAGAGGCAGGGGAAGCTTACACAGAGCTGCTTAGCAATGCTGGGCAGCTGAGAAGGGCTGATTGCTTTTAATCCTCTGTTCCAGTGTATCACAGATGAAGATCACAGAGCAGGGATGAACATTTAACAGTTCTTATGACTGCTGTTACCTATTTTTTTTGGTTTTCCTCCTGTGTAAGTCTCCCTTAAATTTGAAAATGGGCTATGGACACAATTATCAAGCATATATTACCAAAAGTGTTAAAAAAGGGCAAGGTAGCTGCTGGCATGGTACATGAAAGGAAGGCCCTGTTTTATAAATCTTACATGGAAAAAATGGCTTTTCAGGTTGTTATGATCCAAAATGAGATAAATGCTGTGTTTTTATTATCAATTCCAAATAGCTGGCAAACAAATTATGCACCAATAGAATTTTAAAGACTGCACTGTATTTCAATCCACCAATAACATATGATGTAAATTAAAAATATGCAACCAATCAAAATACCTGAAAACCCAGAATCTGAAACACGATGCATTTCACATTTCTAGCTCTGATGTGGCATACATTGGACTCTGTATGCAAGTAACATATTGCTGAACATCTAAAGTAAAATCTGTAATCTCATCTCAGCTGCTTGTGGTATGTTTTATACTACAAATAAAATATCACCGGGAAAGAATCCAAGATGACTTGTATGGAAGTTACTGCTAATCTGGTTTTCACTGACTACACTACCATGCAATTCCTACTTGCTCAAAAATCAACAGCTGTCAGGGGAGGCTTGCATAAAGACTGCAGGATAGGGACTAAACCTGCAAACAACTATTGGTACAATGAGAAATACTAATTGACTACAACAGTAACTCCCAAAGGGTATGGCAAAGCTTCCTTTGGAGGCAGTGAAGCACCAAAAAGCCAGATGTTCTCATACGATAGCATTAGGCACCTTGAACTCTAGAACTGTACATGCTTAGTCAGACGTAGACCGTAAGTACTCTGTCTACAATCCTGATCCTGTTTGTTCCCCGAGGCATGACATACACCAAATATTCTCAGAAAAATATTATTCAGTTCTGGGATTAGGATATTCTGTGTGTGGTATCGAACACGAGGGTGGTCCATGCATCAGGCTGTGGTGGAGAAGGTGGTCCCTAGGCAAAGTAGTGTCAGCACATACACTGATTGCCACAAGCTTAAACCACATCCTACAAGATTTTGCTGTACATATCCTCACAGATGGTGCAGATTTTCTGGTGATTTTTAGTAGATAAGTTTAGTAGATCCAAACCCAGCATCTCAACTCTGTATCAAGGAACCACAGGCTTGTGCATTTGTGTGCAGTCTCACTAAGGCCATAACCACAGCAAAACAGAGGTAGGATATAAGCAACTGAAATAACAAGGGAGTTCAGGTCTTTGTGGTGCTTGAGAATTGTTGTCACAACTGCAGCCAAGTCTTAGGTCTTCCACTATAACCAGGGAAGTTCTTGACAGAGAAAGAGCCATGAACAGTGATCTTTCCACGCTGCATTGCTTACCAGTTGTGAAGGATTCCTTTGTTTGATTTCATCCCTAGGAAACTGCAGTAGCTTTACTACAGCTAATCATCATCTGTCTTCAGCTCAGAGGTCTGAAGTGGCGACATCAAACAGAAAAAAAGAGGAGAGATTAAAAGCATGTAGAGTTATGCTAGATCACATCACCAACCCACCAACCATGTGCTGGAGGGACTGCCATAAAGTATTTTTACACACCTGAGAAAAACTCCAAGACATCAGGGACCTTCTGACAGTCATGAAGGGTGTCAGCAATGTGCCAAGCACATCTCTCAGTGCAAACTTTCATTGCAAAGCAAGACAATAAGGCAGCCATATAACAAAAATATCAAAAGGCAAGTCCTAAATCAACTGAACCAAGAGCTCCAAAGGAGAAGATAATGGGTTTGCCAGTTACCCATCTGATCTTTTTAATATCACAGAAGGCCAGGAGAGAAAAAAACGTGATTTCATTTTCTCTTACCTTTCAACTGAATCAGCATTTGTACTCTGCTCAGGTTCTAGCTTTGCATAACTCAGGGGCAGATTTAGACCCACAACTGGGCCTACAGTACTGAGCCACAATATAATGTAATTTGTGTGTCTAGGGAAAAAAAAAAAAGAAACACAAAAAAGCACCATAAATATATTATCCCAACCTTTTCTGAATTGCAGACACACTTGACAGTCATAAAATAACTTCAGACGGGGCTATTCCTTCACATTATCTATAGCAAATGTATTTTAACTTTCAGCCCTTAGGTGACGACACACAATTTTATTCTATTTGGACCAAGGAAGTTGTTTTGACCATTTCCACTTCCTGGCTGATTTACTTTATCTGCATTGCATAGAGACTTGCAATGCACAGTAGTGTTTCTCACCTGTTGCGTTTTCGTGAACCAGCCAGTATAGAAGACATGAATTCATTAGTTCGGCAGGGGTGCAGAATGAAAAATGGCTGCCCAAGTAAGGGGTGCTCCTAAAAGGGAATACCAGTTGTTTTATTATGCAAGGAGAAAACAGAAAAGTCATCATATGCATTTGGAAAAGACAAAGCAGGGTCCAATTAGTCCTTGATGCAAATTTTCTCATTTCAGAATCTAACCCATATTGCTCTTCTACTGATAGTCATTGACAAATTAATATATGAGGAATATTCTCTTATCTTAAAAGGGATCTTATTTGATCACCAACCAGGCTGTGCCACTGTTTTAGTTAAAATGTAATGGTCTGCAAAAATAACATGAGTTAATATATCAGCACCACCTGAATGCAAGTAAACAAAGCTACCGCATAAGCAAGTATCTGATCAAATGTGAACAAATCCGCCCCATGGAAAAGCTCTGTAACAACCTTGACGCCTTATCCTTGCATCTTCTCAAACTGCTGCTGGGACGTAAACATGGTTTAATTTGGAGCCTGTGTGGGGGAGCAAGGAGGAAAAGCCCTCAAGGTGGCTTTAACTTCCACTAGGTGGCGTATCCTAATTTTAGGCTATTTACAGAAATACGTCCTAAATCGGCTGTTCTTCAAGAAGCACAGTAAAAAACAGTCCTGAGGAAAAAAAAAAAAAAAAAAAAAAGAAAGTAATTTAGTTAAGTTCGCAGTCAGACACACTCCCTACAACATGGTAAGACTCTGTCTGTTCCTCTCCACCTTCACACTGCACACAGTGCTGCCGAAAACTCAATCCATGGGTCCATAAAGCTTTCACTTTCATCTCCAGCCGGCACTTGAACAGAATACGTGTTCTGACTTAATCAAGCTTGCGCTCAATGCAAAACCATAACAGTGATCTCATCAGCACTTACATGGGTGATACCACAAGATCAGCATACCTGACTGTCTCACACACCATGCCCTAGGGAAGTGATTTTCCTTTAATGCTCCTGAGGTCACTGCTAGTACTTCTGCACCAAAATAAACAAATCCTACCTCATCCACACACACAAGAAGGGGGATAACAGCAGAGCAGGGAATGGCTAGAAAGGGATTTCAGAAAAGAAAGATGTCAAATATGAAACACCATGATAGCCAGTTTACAGCCAAGCTAGATGTCACTAAGCCCAGGACTCTGCTGGAGCAGAGAAGCACTCCACACAAGGCAGCAGGGTGGGGAGAAGCAGGCATGGACCACAACAGAGAAAACAGCAGGATCACCACCTCTGCACGGCGTTCCCCATTCAGCTGTGTAAGCCTGGTCCACTGTGCTATGCTACTCACCAGAGCCACAGCAGAGACTGACTACAAAGGTTAACAGGACAGATGGTTTATCGTGGGTAAAGACCCTTTTCCTTAGATATGCTTCTTGTGGTGGCTCTGTTTCTTGATGGCAAAGAAGAAGAAATATTACATTTATGCTCCAACACAGACTTCCCTTGTCCAACCTGATACAGCTGTAGTCAAACTCCCCTAGTTTTGTGATGGCATTTTATCTCAGCATGTAGTAAATTGCCTGCATTGAAGAGATGCCTTCCCATAACACAGTAAAAACTTTCTCCAACCCCTTGCCTAGAAACAAAACCCAAATCCTACCCTGTCATGTTCAGCAAATAGGACACATTCTTTATTATTATTACACAGGGTCTCTTACAGCTGAAGGACACTTGGCTCTTATGCTGAGGATGTAGTCATGAGGATCAATCATTTTATGTACTAGAGAACTTAAAAAAACTTCCAGAAGACTCAGAACACACAAAAACTGATGTTCAGAAAGCTTTGTTTTACATTGCAGTGCAAAGAGATAACTTCCGCAAGAATGCTACCATCTGCTGTTGATAAAAGTGAACTGATGCTGGCTTCCACTAAGAAAAAGTGGTAGTTTGAATTAAAAATCCTTTCTAATTATCTGCCAGCTTAAATGAGGTTAGGTCTCCAAATAATTCCAGAAAATACGTCAATTGCGCCAATAGTACACCTCAAAGACAGCAAAAAAAAGATAGTTAATAATATTTACAAAACTACTACGCAAAGGAAAAAAAAAAAAAAAGTAGATTAAGCAGCAATTTCAGCCAACTCCCTTTTTTAGTGTAAAAGGTAGCACACACTCCCAAAAAGAAGAGAGAAAATAATCTGGGCTTTAAGTGATTTAGCACTCTGAAAAAGGCATAAAGATAATTCCCAAAGCTGAATATTCAGCCTGAAGTCATTCCCAGCCATCCTGTCACCTGGTATTTGATTCTATCCTGCACTTCTTACTTCAGCAAACCACCAGTGAGAGGCAAATGGAGGCCAGAATTTATTTTTTTAAAATAGCTTATTAACTTTACATTCTACATCTTTCTTCTTTCAGTCCTCCCTCGTCTTACAACATGAGTGACATTGAAAAAATACCTGAACCCTAACAATTATATGTTTGTATGAAAAAGCAGAGTGCATTGCTACTTAAGTTCTTCAAAAGGGTAACATCCTTGGTCCCACCATCTTTGGCATCAATCTGTGACTTAGGAGCATGTGATAGAGGTGACATCTGTTCACACTCTGAATTCCCTGCAGTCTCTCCTCCATTCTTCTTGAAGAGGTAGAAGGGCTCTTTCTTCCTCTCTGGATCCAGCAGATGTAAAGGGAGAGATTTCTCCTACAGGACCCAGCCATCAGCTTCTAGGTTGATACGAAGGCTCTGAGGACACTTGGTCTTGGTTAGTCACTCTTCCTAGCTTGTCTCATTGTTCTTTGAATTATCAAGGGTTGCTTCATACGCATCCTGAATCAACAGCTGTGCCAGGTTAGTTGAATGGCAACAATGAAATGATCCAGGGGTTTAGTTAAACGCATGCAGCTCCTTGGCCAGGCTCTGAGAATGGCATGTGCATTAAAGCTGCATGTCTGCACATTCGGGGAGAGTTGCTCTGGTTTCCATTTAGCAGGGTATTTTTGAAAACTGAGCACTGTTACTTATTTGTTTACCTCTAATCCAGGAAACTGAAGTTCATTATTACATAGATCCTTCAGCACTGAAAGTCCATAGGAATGATGTCATGCAAAGCAGCTGTGTCCAAAGTTGGAAATTTTCAACAAGCTTGCTGCGTGTATCTTTCTTACCCTAAACAAAAGGCATGAAACTGCAAGAATGCCACGCTGTTTATTCAAAACCTGAAAGATAGGAATATATCACACACTGATAGGAAAAACACAAAAGCTCAAGAAATTAAAAGAAATCCTGAGCCAAGACCTGTTTAGCAGGAACCTCTAAAAAGTGAAAAGGATGAGACAGGGAAGAAGAGCTGTTGAGCATCAGGCAAAACACTCTGAGAGTATCAGATCTGATTCAATCAAATCCTGAATTCCAAATCCTGTACATAATGGCATCCCCACGAGGCCTTAATGTATACTCAAGGTTAAATCATTGACACAGTAGCTCTGAAGAGGAAGTACAGGACAGCTGCCAATAACAATGCAATAGTTATCAAAGCCCTGAATTATTTCAGAATCCATAATGGGCTACAGAGCCTTTTCATTGCCAGGTCACCAGCTCAGATTTGGCCAGGGCTGGTGCTCGCGAGCACTCATTACTGTACAATGGCTGTATATGCAGTTGTCAGGTTTCGCACAATCAAAGTGCCATTAATTAGTGCCCTTGCTGGTAGCCACTGAAGGTGAGTCCAGAACTGAAGATGGTGGTTCATCTTGTCACTGTAGGTCAGCTCTGAAGTAAGGAAAAGCCAGAAACTTGCACTTCTGCTGCTCGTGGCATGCCCTGAGAGAGGGCAGCATGATGAATCCCAAGTCCTCAAACTCCATCAAAAGTGTGAGAATGAATGAGAGCTTGTGCTGCATTAGCTTTCTGAGCATATTTACTACCTGCTGCAGTCACCTAGTTGAATGATGATATGCAGTGAAATGTATCCTGAGCAAAATATTAAGGCAGCAATACTAGCCTTCAGCTAGCCTGATCCATGAGCCAGTTACATAAAAATGTAAAGTCCTACTGGGACTTCATGCAAAAAACAACCAAACCGAACTTTAAATAGTATAAAAAAGTCTTCCCACTTTTAGTTTACAAATAATCCTTTTCCAGTTGGTCATGTAGCAATGCATTTTAGAGAGTTTGAAATCAATTCTCACAATTATTCACTGTCATTGTACAGCAAGAACCCATCTGTGGGTTGCCCACAACTCTTCTGGACAGTAATACACTGACACACAGTTTATTTGAAATCAACAGCATTATTTTCTTCTATCTACCTATGATCTATCTATCTATCTATGAGGCTGACTCAGCACTGTCTGTTCAGTACCGTACACCAGAGTCCATCAAGCTTCTGCATATCCCTCTGAGTCTGACCCAGCTTTCATGGAAAACAAACTTTTTACAGGCTGCAACTAGCCCCAGTGAATTTGAAAGCTCAAAATGTTGCTTCATTTATTTTCTGTAGAAGGACCTCTTTACTAGGTGACTTCAAGGAAGATTTCTAAGAATGTTTTGTACCCATTTCTGCAGCCATTACCTCAACTCCTCCCATACAAAACCATGCAAGAGAGAGATGGAGGAAAGATGCAAAATGTTTCATTGGGTAGTCTGAAAATTAATGTAGTTTTGTTTAGGAATGCTACACAATATTGTGACCAGGCGCTGAGCTGCCTCGGTTGTGAGGTTAAACTGCTGAGCTTAAACCTTTCACTGAGATGTATCTTAGACAGTGTGCCTGAGGTCTTGGCAACAACAACAAAAGAATGCTACAGGCTTCTAGAGGGCTGAAAACATTTCAGTTGAGCAGCAGCTTTTTCTGTGTGGTATAAGGCAGCCCCTTCCCATAAAGTCCATCAGGGATGTGAAGGCTTGATCAACTGTCCTTCACCTGTCCTGCCATCATTCACTAATGAAACAGGACTGTCCCTCACAGGGTCAACAAGAGGTAAGAACTAAAAAATTAAATTAATCCCCTTTCCTGTTCAGCGCCTATAGCACAGTGAAATGCTAAGACATGAATCTGAACAGTGGCAAAGATTGAGTAGTTCCTAAGTACAAGTATTAAGTCT